TATTTTTCTTGAGATTTAAATTTTAGGATTTATAAATTTTTATATACTTCTGTAAATTTTCGTAAGTTTTTACGGTGTGTAAGTTTACGTAAACCAACATAAAATTTTTACGTAAATTTACGATTTTCTTACTCACTGTAAGATTTACGTAGTTTTATGCTAAATTTTACGTAGGTTTACGATTTTCTTATGCACCATAAAAACTTACAAAAGTTTACGCATATATATTTTTGCTGATGTCCAGATTGGTCTATTTTAACTATTTAGAAGAGGCCAATGATGAAGAGGAAGTTGAAAGCAAGTTGAAGCAGCAATAATAGTATAGTTGCAAATAAAAATAGAAGTAGTAATGGAAATGGAAATGGTGGAAATAATAGTGGAAATAATGGTGAAAATAGTGGTAGAAATAGTGGCAGAAATAGTAGTGGAAATAGTAGTGGAAATGAAAATGGTGGTGAAAATGGAAGTGGTAATGTCGATGAAGAAGAGCTTTAAGAAAGAAATTTCTCTAGATTAGCAATATTTAAATTTAAAAAATAATATTTTTTTTTGCTATAGTAATATATAAATATACAGCTGCTATAATTCAATTTAAATAAATATAATAATATACAATTGCTTTTATAAAACAAACGTTATAACATTTATATAAATATAAAAAAAAATAAAATAAAATATAGCCCTGTTAGACATAACAATATATATATTATTTAATCCTGAAATTCATCTGGTTTTCTTGCAATTCAGAGTAAAATAAGATACCAGTTGGGTTTATTAATGGATTTACTAGCATAATGATATTGAATTTAAAAGTTTCTGATTAGTCTCTAATTTTAAATAGATATTTGGCAGAAATAGGAGACCAATAGGAAATAATTGTGACAGATTAAAATAAAATCAGATTAAAATAAAATTTTGGGTGATATTTTTTAGGGTTAGGATTAGGGTTAGGGTTTAGTGTTAGATTTATTAATAAAAAAGTATAAGTAGGTTTTATAAGCTTTAAAGAGGAGTAAGAGAGGTTCCCTGTTTCATTTTAATTTGATTTTATTTTAATCTGCAACAATAATTAAAATTAAAATCGATCTACTAGTAGGCCTTTAATATATTTTGATAGGTATCTTAATTTATACTGATGAGTATCCAGTTTTTAGCAATTTTAAGTAAAATAAGATACTTATCGTATTAATCAATAAATCTACCGAAAAATTGATAATATACTTGTTTATTTCTAAATGTCTAAATGAACTATGATTTTAAACAGATATTTGGTGAAAATAAGATACCAATCAGAAAAATTTAAAATCAATTTAAGTTTAGTATCGAAAGACAGTAGGTCTATACTATATATACTATATTTTGATAGGTATCTTAATTTTTTCTGATATGTATCTGATTTTATAGCAATTTCAAGTAAAATAAAATACTTATCGTGTTAATCAATAGACCTATTGAAAAATCAATAATGTACTTGTTTTGTTTCTAAATATCTCCAAATAGACTATGATTTCAAACAAATATTTGGTGAAAATAAGATACCAATTAGAAAAATTTAGGATCGATTTAAGTTTAGTATCAAAAGACTAGTAGGCCTATATTATATTTTGATAGATATTTTAACTTCTCTCGATGACTATCTGGTTTTCTAGCAATTTCAAGTAAAATAAGATACTTATCATTTTAATTAATTTGTCTACCGGCTATTTGATTTAGAATCTAAATTTTCTCAATTGGTATCTTATTTCTGTCAAATATCTATTTAAAATCGGATACCAATCGAAGATATTTACAATTTACTAGTCAGTAAACTTCCATATACATATCAGATTGATATAGAATATCTATCAATTACCCAGTTGTTACTCAGTATAGTTTTATTTGACTTATGTTAGCTTTACAATATAAATATACAAAATTTTTAAATTTAGTACATAATTTTTACAACTATACCTAATATAGGCTATAATAATGCTTTTATAGATTGTTTTTTTTCTGTCTTTTTTTTCTTTTTTTCTTTGTTTTTTTGTTACTTATTTTCTTGTTGCTTAGATAGTTTTTTCTTTTCTTTATTGTTTTGTTCTTTTTATTTTTTTTTTTAGTTAGTATTTTTTTTTTATAAGTTAGTTGGTAACTATAATTTTTTTTACTCAAGAAGCTAGAAAAAAAAGATTAAAAAAGAAGGTAATTTTAATAAACTATAAATATTATTTAGTAATATATTAAAGTATCTAGTTGCAAAGTTTTTTTAAACTTTACTATAGCAGATTGAACATGAATAATTTGAACATTTTGGTATTACAAAAAGTTAGGTTAGCTAATACTTGCAATTTAAGTAGACTTTAGATAACTTTAGCTAAAAATTATATTTTTCTTATAAGTTAAATATTAAAATCTAATAAAGTATTAACAAGATTGCTAAATTTTAAAAAAAAAAATAATTTTAAGTGTATATGATCAACTAATCAAATTTGATTACATGCATATAATATACATAATTAAATTTGATTAGTTGATTATAAGGTTATCATAACAACATATCTCTATAAAATAACACCAAATAATTTTTTTTTTACCAAATTTAATTATATAATTATTATAAAACTATTACTAAAAAATTTAAAAAAACCTTCAAATTTATTAATAAGATCTTCAATTTTGTTTACTAGCAACTTCCAAACTTCAATATAATTATCAAACTAGTTTGAAAGATTTATAGATACACACACATATAGAGTGACATTACAGTACTATGGTGCTATAATAATATTCTCTATATTTATATAAAAATAAAAAAAAATTAGTATAGTTGACTTTCTCTAAGTACAGCTCACCAAAACTTATAAAATTTTCTTAAGTAAAAAAAAAAATCTTGCATTTAGAGAGAACCTGCACTTAGAGAATATAAGTTTATTATAACTTTATATGGCTTGGGACCAAAAAAAATCTGCATTTAAAGAGAATTTAATATGACCTGCACTTAGAGAACATGCACTTAGAGGGATCCTAAATTTAACAATTTTATAGTTCATAATAAAGATTTGAGTTTATTTGTTCTTTATTTATAAGTCGTATTTCATATTTTTTAATAAGATGATCTTTTGGGATTTTACTAAAATTTTTACTATCAGTTATTAAATGTCCGTCGTCAATCATTTATTGCGATTTTCTACTTAACTATATATACTGTATATAATTGGCTATATTTTTGTTATTAATAATAAAAGCCCTTTTTTGTAAAGCTAATACGTAAAAAATATTTATAACTCAAAATGGCTATTTTAATACTAAAAAATCTTTTTTACGTATAAACCAAAATTAATTTTATTGCTTTATTTGTATACGTATTTGCCAATATATATTAAGATAAATAGTTAACAAGCACTACGTATATGTATAAATATACGTTTTTTGTTTTAAATATATCATATTAAATTAATATACGTATCTAGTGTACTACGTATAGATGATTAACATTAATTTATTAAGTATGCCCGATTTTATTAAAAGTGTAAATTTATCTCTTTGTTGTTAAAACTTTAGCTTTTATAAACTAACACTATCTCTTCGAATTAGAATCATAAATTATTCAACTTTAGGAAAAATTGTCTCAAATTATAATATATAAGAAACACTTGCTAAAGCAAGCAAGGCGACTTTCCAGGCAAAAATTATATCTAACGTTTAACAAAAGTAGATACTGGAACCATAAACGACTGCCACATGATTCAAGGATCGAATTCTTAAAAGGATCGGTCAGGACTCGATCTCAAAGAATGGATTAACGTCCCTAAACATATTACTATGAATGTTGGTGGTAGATCATATGTATCGACAGAATATTTATTATATCAGATATGATACCCGATACGAGTTACCGTGACTGTTTTAAAAATTTTTTATGAAACCCAGATTCATTTTGCATAATCTAAGTTTATATTTATTTTTGTCAGATGTTTATTATTGCAACCTTATAAACCTAATTTGTGATAATATTGTAATTAATTTTTATAATTAAAAAACTTTAATAAAATTTTTACAGGCAAAAAAAAAGCTATTTTAATACATAGTAATGAAGATTTGTTTATTATAATAATTTTTGATAAACAAATAAATTCACCAATTGATTCCTTTTTTGTCACATAATCCATAAGTATGTACTCTGTGATACAGGATGTGTTTGAGAACCTTCAGGTTACGGTAACACGGAATTACATTACTTTAGTAAACTTTATTAAATTGTACCTACTTACACGTTCTTACTGGATTTAAGGCTACGTTTTTCGAGCATTCTTTGGAACTCCTTCAGGCCCAATGAATAATAATTCCCACGTTGTTAAAAAGGGATACATTTCCGTGAAGGAGGATGGTTTAAGAGCCTGGATTTGGTCAAAACGATGGATGTTGCTTAGAGAACAAACCCTCACATTTCATCGTAACGAAGTAATCTTTTGAACTCATCTTACATTTCTCAAGTATAAAAAGTATTATTATATATTATTATATAATATTAACACTACCTTCTTTTGCCCTTACAGAATACTTACCAAGCTGTTGCGTTGATTTTCCTCAAGGAGATTAACAGTGTTTCGCGGACAGAATTGAAACCTTACTGCTTCGAAATTCAAACTAAAGATAAAACTTATTACCTTTCTTGTAAAAATGATGAAGAATTATACTCATGGATGGATGAAATTTATAACGTAAGTTAGTTCAAAAGAATTTCGGTGGTTCCTTAAATTATTTCGTTTATAAGGAGTTTAAAATTATTATTTATTTATGTGTGAGTGAATTTATACCATGCAAATATAACGCATAAACGCAATAATACTACAACTATTACAGTAAACGTCATAATAGTATTTACCAATATTGGGCAGAAGTCTCCGTCTAAATTTCTGACAGACTACGACTAATCAACATATTAATAAATACACATATATATATATTTTCTTTTAACATTCAGCGGTCACCTCTCAGTGGTGTCTCAAATCCAACAAATTTCGTACACAACGTACATGTAGGGTTCGATCCTGTTAGTGGGCTGTTTACTGTAAGTTTTCTTTCAATATTAATGAACTTGTATACGATTATTTCTGAAAAATCGAAATAATTCATTTGGTGTATTCATGAATTGTGTAGGGGATGCCAGAGCAATGGACTAAACTCCTTACATCATCAGCAATTACTAAAGAAGATTACGCAAAAAATCCTCAAGCTGTTTTAGATGTATTAGAGTTTTACACGGAAAATCAAAAACGAGAGCAAGAAGCATATGGACAGCACGGTCTGTTAGGACCGATTACCGGATTTCCAAACGCAGACGACAAATGGGCTGACCTATTACCAAAAAATAATAATACGCCACAGAAAAATAAACTATATCCTAGCCCTAGTGGTGGATCTAATGGATATGATATGTCTTCTAAGATATCACCGGTAAACAGTGTGGGTAGTATCAGAGTAGATCCAGATTCTTCTAGGAATAATAACGATGTAATAATTATTTAATTTTTATTTCGTACAAGTTTTATCCATTATCTCGTGGACAGATATTTACTCCACGTAAATCTTTCATCCTTTTAGCAACAGGTAACTCCACCAAATCGTCCTCCGATCACGCCAAGACCTCCCAATACTTTAAGTTCTAACAATGTACGTATAACTCTAAATTAGAGTTCTATATCACAAATTGCTTCAAATTTAAATAACTTTTTAAATATTTATATTTTCCTTATTAAATGTTTAATAAATTTTCTTTTGGACTAACAGTACAATCAGATTCAACAACAATCTATACCCCAATCTTCTCAACGTGTTCCTGAAAAATATCAACAATCGAACAACTATCAACAACCCCCTCCATCATTAGTACCAATGTCTCAACAATCTACAAATTATTCGTCGTCTTCACAACAATCGCAACAACAACGTATTCCTAGCCCTAATCCTCCTCAACAACAACAACAGCAACCTCCACAAGTTACTCAACCACCTAAACAGGCACCATCCCCATCCAAACCACAGCAATCAGCAAAGAAACCTGCACCTGAAAAAAGAATTAGCACAATGACTGAAGCACAAATTATGGAAAAATTAAGATCTGTTGTTTCTCCAGGTGATCCTACAGCTTTGTACAGTAAAATCAGGAAAGTTGGTCAAGGGTATGCATTATTTATTATTTATTTTTAATCATTTTTGTTAAGAATCTTTTATTACATCATCATATCTAAATAATATTGGTATTTATTATTTATCAGTGCATCTGGATCCGTATACGTTGCTAAATCTCTCCAATCTAATGCTAAGGTCGCTATAAAACAAATGGATCTTTCACATCAACCACGAAAAGAACTAATTGTTAATGAAATTCTTGTGATGAAAGAATCTCAACATCCAAATATTGTCAACTATCTTGATTCATTCTTAGTAAAAAGCAACGAGCTTTGGGTTGTCATGGAATATATGGAAGGTGGCGCGTTAACAGATGTTATTGATAATAATACGCTAGAGGAAGATCAAATTGCCGCAATATGCTATGAGGTACAAAATATTTCCGTTTATTTATTTATATTATATATAATATGTTTTTTACTTTCTTTCTAATTCGTTATTTTTTTTTGATGTAGACATGTAAAGGTCTTCAACATCTTCATGGACAAAATATTATTCACCGCGATATTAAAAGTGATAATGTTTTGTTGGATGCATTTGGCCATGTTAAAATAAGTAAGATAAATTCAAATAAAATTTACTCAATTTTCATCTCAATTTCATAGGTTTTTTTTTTTTTTTTAACATATTTGATTTAAATTTATCTGCTTTATTTTATTTATTTGCTTATAGCCGATTTTGGATTCTGTGCTAAGTTAACTGATCAAAAGAACAAACGAGCGACAATGGTTGGTACCCCATATTGGATGGCACCTGAAGTTGTAAAACAAAAAGAATATGGTGCAAAAGTTGATATTTGGTCTCTTGGTATCATGGCTATCGAAATGATTGAGAATGAACCGCCATATTTAGATGAAGAACCACTTAAAGCACTGTATTTAATTGCCACAAACGGAACTCCAACTTTGAAAAAGCCGGAAAAATTGTCACGTGAATTAAAAAGTTTTCTTGCAGTCTGTCTTTGTGTAGATGTTAAGAGTAGAGCAACCTCATTGGAGCTTTTGGAAGTATGTATTCTTTGCTTTTTATTAATTGCTGCGATATTATTTATTAATTTAATTCATTTTATTTTTCAGCATGACTTTCTCAGAAAAGCCTGTCCACTATCAGATCTTGCACCCTTGCTTAAATTTAAAACTGCTAAGGATGGCAGATCGTGAAGTTTATATTCATATATATTTAAATTGTTTTTTTAGCTTTCCATGATGTAATAGAAAAATTCAATTATATTTATACAAATTCCGGAGGTTATATTCAATAATGGAGGCATGGTTACTATCTTATTTGGTTAATTTTGAAGGCTATTTAATACTGATTGATTTTGTGTACAGTACATTTCTTAGTACATGATACCGTACATTGTAGCAGGTAGATGGTGATGTTGTATATATTTTTATATACCTTTCTGTTCATTACTGAAACCTTGGTCTTAAAAAAAGTTTTTTATTTATATATAAATACAAACTCATTATTCATATACACTACAAAATAGTATATATTATAATACTGCTTAATAGAACTACACAGTATCTAATAATAAAAAAATTTAACGTTAAATTTATTTCAAATAAAGAACCCTTTTTTTTTTTTGTTTAATTATTTAGGTTACATTGTTTAACTTATAAAATATATAAATAATAATATATATATATTCGGAAATTAACAGGTAATAGTAAATTAGTGTTTGTAGACGACCTATTTGTCGACTGTATAAGCCGAAATTTAAAAATTGGCTTAGCCGACTATGCAAAGTATTTCTACCACAAAATCCCGAAAGTCATTTCTATAATACCGACTAAATTGACCAGCATTATAACTAATGCCGGCTAAGTTTGTTGGTTTTCGGGAATCTGTCCTTCGGGATTTTTTGCCAACCCACTGTTATAGAGTTGTTTGTTTGATTGTCTTAGTTTCCGAGATTTCTTATTTACATAACCAAGAATCAACTGTCAATTTTTTAAAGAATCGACTTAGTCGTCTAAGTCAATTTTATCAGCAATCAAAAATTGGCTATACATTTTTTAATACTACTGTAAATAAATTTCATTATTCGGAGAGTACTGGACATAATGGGAAAGCAATGGCCAGATTATGTAAACAAGACAAAATTTCCGAATTTGGGCTACAAATTATTTTTTTTTGTAAACTATCAGCAAAAACCTTGTTTTTTACTCACCTGACCCATTTTTATTGACCGAAAAAAAAAAACCATCGTGGGTATCATAAGTCAGTCAGGATAACAAGAAAGTACATCACAATATTACAAAAAAATTTGATATTCAAATATGAAGTATCCGTAAATCATTCTTTCAAAGTTCAGCTGTGCTGAGAATATGTGCACATCGAATTTTTTACCAAGCCTAACAAAAAATTAATTGCAATTAATTTTTGTTATACGTCATACAATTAAAATCAATTAAAATTATCATGAAATTAATAGAAACCCAATTAATTGACAAATAATTGCAATTAATTAATTGCAATTAATTCAATTTTCTTTCATTATACCACATAGAACCTGCATATAATACCTAGTGTGACCAATTTTTAAATGGCGAAAAATTACATGTATTTAACAATTTGACAGCGAATATGCTAATTACGTAAAAATTGCAATTAATTGCCCCTACAACCAATTTATTTGGTCCGTTTTTTACACAGCTTTTCAACTCAAAATCGCACTGGCTACATATTTTTAATATACATTTGATTTTCAATAGTCAAGAACTATACCCAGTGACGAAAATATCTCCAACAGCTAGCATTTATTTCAAAAAGTTTGTACCTTCTTCCAGAAATTAGTAATTCACTTTTCCAAAATGCATATTCAAACATATTATGAATGCCACTAAAATCGATGCGAATCTTTTTAAGGCAATGTCTTTGTAAACTATCAATGTAGTTATTAAATGAAATCTAATTTGAATTTTCAAAATCCATTTTATAAATATACATATAAAATTCAAATAAAAAAATTAATCGAATTTGTTTAAATAATTTTAAATAATTCTTCGCTTAAAATTTTAGAAATTTAAAAATATTGTGGTATATTTTTTATTTTAAATATATATACTATATAGTGTATAAAATACATATATATATAGTAGAACAACTTAAATTTTGGTTGATATTTAGTATAGGTGGGAATATATAAATATTATAAGATTATTTAATATAAAAATAATTATTTGAACT